TTAAAGATAGGAGAGAGAGAGAGAGAGAGAGAGAGAGAATTTTTTAAAACATTTATTTCTTAGTTTTCGGCGGACACAACATCTTTTGTTTGTATGTGGTGCTGAGGATCGAACCCGGGCCGCACGCATGCCAGGCGAGCGCGCTACCGCTTGAGCCACATCCCCAGCCCATCATTTAGATTTATTACAGTGAAAAGATGGCAGAATCAGCAGAAGGAAGAGGTGGGTAAGAAGAGCATGGCAGCTAGGTCCCTTTCCTGGGTGTGCATACAGGATGCCCTGAACTCCTGGCAATGAGATATGGAATGTCAACCAGGGAGACTCCTCAGAGATGCAGCACCCAGGCTTTCATTGGGCGCTGGTCACATAGGCACCCTCTGCCTGGTACCCACTCAAATTCCAGATTCCTAGGAGGAGAGCAGGATTCAGTGTGAACTATACCATCTATGCCCATGTTGTCAGTTGGGGTGGTGGGAACCGCCCAGGACGGGTGGCTCAAGCCTGCTGTGAGAGCTTCGTATGGCACCATGGGCGTCTCCTGTTGCTGAGAGAAGAATTATTGGGCTTTTCCTGACAAGGATTACGATGAGGGGTTTAGGGCTGTGGCTCAGCGATAGAGTGTTCGTCTAGTACATATGAGGCACTGAGTTCGATCCTCTGTACCACATAAAAATAAATAAAAAGGTATTGTGTCCAACTACAACTAGGGGGAAAAAAAAAAAGGATTACAATGAGCTGAAGCCTGTAGTTCCTGCCCTCTAAGCATAGTAGACTGCTGGCTCCAAGGAGAGATGTGCTCATCAGCACTTCCTGGTTTTCTCAGATTGGGCACAGTGCCTGGGAGCAGTTCTAATTAGGCCATGTTTCTGGTGCACTGTGTCCTTAGCTTTAAGCCCTTTGATTGGTCCCTAGTCCCCTGGCATACATAAGGTGACAGTCGGCCCTGAGTGTCCGCAGGTTCTATATTCATGGATTTAACCAACAAATACAGTTTGAAAATATTCAGATGAGAAAAGTTGTGTCTGTATTGAATGTGTACAGACTTTTTTCCTTGTTATTATTTCCTAAACAGTACAGTATAGCAGCCATTCTCAAGGCACTTGCAGTGTTTTAGACATTGTAAGGACTCTAGAGATGATCTGAAGTGTGTGTGGGGGGAGGTATGTGTTGGTTCTGTGCAAGTACTTTACCATCTTATAGGAGGCGCTTGAGCAGCTGTTATGGGCTTTGATGTCCCCAACATGGGGGATTACGTCCTGGAACCTTGCATACAAGAAGCCACTGTAAATCTTAGCAGCTAGCCCAGGTCGAGTGGCCTCATTGCTGTTGATGCCACGTGCTCGTGTCCTGGTGGGAGAGGTATCTGGAGTCCCAAGTGTCAGCAGGTGCTGGCTGCTGGTCGCTTTCACCTGCTTCATGATTTTCTGGTTGGTTGTTCTGTGTGAGAACTGGTAAAGCCCAGACACCTTGCTGCCTTTCTAAAGCCACCATCTGTTTTATTTGCATGGGAGAATATAGTCTCTTCACTGGCACTTCTGGTTTGGGTTGAGCTCTGTGTGAGTACCGTGGCTTTGGGGCAGTCAATCACAAGTTGTCCCTCTTGCTCAAGAAAGTTGTGCTGAGATAGTTTCCTTTTCTTCAGGATCATCTGTGTCAGGTGGGCAACACAGAAAGCTAGTCTCATATCACCAGCTGTGCCCTGTCTAGCCTATGTGATTGATATAAAAAATGTAAATTCTATATTTCTGCTTCTGTTTTTAAATAACTGAATCCTTTAATGGCAGTAATACAATTATTGGATTATCAAGTACATTGGACCCATTTACTTTTATATGGTGCAGAGGTTCTAACCCAGGGCCTCGTACGTGCTAGGCGAGCGCTCTATCACTGAGCCACAACCTCAGTCCCTCAAGTACATTTTAATGTATTATAAGATTAAAGTTTTGGGCTGGGGATGTGGCTCAAGCAGTAGCGCGCTCGCCTGGCATGCGTGCGGCCCGGGTTCGATCCTCAGCACCACATACCAACAAAGATGTTATGTCTGCCGAGAACTAAAAAATAAATATTAAAAATTCTCTCTCTCTCTCTCTCCTCTCTCACTCTCTCTTTAAAAAAAAAAAAAAGATTAAAGTTTTAAAATCTTCAGTTGATTATAGTTGGCTAACTCCTTGTCTGTTGCCTGATGGAAGCAGAAATGCTTCAGGGAACTTAGAACATGCAGCCTCTGCTGTGCATAGTAGCCATGCCTGTGATGCCAGCCACTCAGGAGGCTGAAGCAGGAGGAGTGCAAGGTCAAGGGCATCCGTAGCAACTTGGACATTGTCTCAAGTCAGGGCTGGGGAGATAGCTCAGTGGTAGAGTGTCCCTGGGTGCTCCTTGGGTTCAGTTCCCAGTTCTGTGGAAGAAACAATCGTGCAGCCTCTGAGCTCCTGCTGCAAAGTGTCTGAAGTGCCTGTAGCACAAGTGGCTGAGGACCTGGAGCTGTGGGACACAACACCTTTATTTATTTATTTATTTATTTATTTATTTATTTATTTATATGTGGTGCTGAGGATCGAACCCAGGGCCTCACACGTGTTAGGCAAGAGCTCTACCACTGAGCTACAACTCCAGCCCAGACCCAAGTAACTTTCTCTTCTCTTCTTTTCCAGGCACTATGTTGTCCGTGGCCCTGAGATGACCCCTTACGAAGGTGAGTGAGTGTTTTTTGAATGGACCTGCCTGTTGAACATCAATTTCTGTAGAGGATAGTCCTTCTAGTTTGTATGTACAGTGGTTAAAGTGCACCTACTTGGAACGTGTCCTGGTATTCCTCCAAGCCCTAGAAGTGGTTTTGCTGGTGTGTCTAAGTCTCCAGGGACTGACTGTAAGCATTCATGTTCTACCAGCCTCTAGCACAGTTGGAGGTGCGAAAACCAGGTTGGGATAAACAGTAAAACGTGACCATATTTTTATGTTTCTAAGGCCAGGGGCAGTATCTTCAAAGAGGCCTAGTCTGCTAGGCATTTTCAGTGCGATCTTCAGAACAATCTCTGAGCTAAATGGGGCCTCCTCTTGTGGCTTCAGGAGGACATAGGACCTGCCTGACTCCTTAGCTCTCCTAACTGCTACCAGGCCTCACCCAGTGGCCTAACCCCTTAGGTTACCAGATACCATTTAGGGTCCTTGGTTGTTCACAAAGTAGGCAGGAGCTGTCAGCCAGCAAGTCTCTGGGAGCCTGTAGGGAGAATTGTGGCAGCCTTGGGTTTGGACCAGGTCTGCAGGCATACCCAGGGCAGAGTACTGGTCAAGGTGGGCATTTCCTTGGCTTCTCAGCCATGAGGCTGACTCTACATGACCAGAGTAGTAGGCTTTTGTCTGCCCACACATGGAGGTTTTGCATAAGACTCCAAGAGTGCAGAGGAATTGGAGAAGCACTGCAATGGCTGGCTATGGTTCAGCAGTGTGGCCCTCATTTGGATCCTAGGACCAAAAGAAGAAAGAAAAAACTGCTGCTTTGGATGGTCAAGGGAGAGCTGTGGGTAGCTAAGAATTGAAAGACAACTCTCAAAGGTGGTTTGGCTGATGTTTTGCTGGCCTTACAGTGGATTCCCTTTGGCCCAGGAGTCCCGTTCTAAGATTACAGGGAAGCACATCTAGAGTGGCGTTCCTGCAGGGTGGGCATGTTGTGACAAGGCTGTGTACAGTGGCATGAGCTGGAGGATGTGGCCCATGTGTTTGAGAAGTCCCCTCAAGAGTCCCTAGAGATGTGGTGAAAGGCTTAAAAAGAGTTGGTCCAGATAAAATGGAAATACTTAGGGAGTACATGTGTATTGCTAACAAACTTGAAGAACATATACCAAAAATGAATGAGCAGTAACTCAAGCAAGTGGATTATGCTGGTCTGTAAGTTATTTTAATCTTTTTTCTTTTCATATTTTCCAAATAAATAGTAAACGTTTATTAATTTTGTAACAAATCCCACACCCTCCACAGGACCAGCCAAGGTTGTCTCTGGTGAGGACCGGGGCTTGAGAAGAGGCAGGCTTGAGAAGAGGGTGTTTAGGGTGGGGCCTTGGGGGCAGCCAGATCCCTGCCTGCCCTAACCTGTCAGTTGTGCTTCCATATTTTTGTATGGCCCTGCCCAATTCTGGGGTCCTTCACTCCAGTCTTCCTAGTCCCCTGTCCCTGTGCAGCTCTCTGTGGGGCTGTTCCCAGGCTGTCAGTGTGTTAAGCCCTTTTGGCAGTTGCAACCTCATCCTCTGCTGACACTAGTCTCACAGGGTCTTGAAGGAGCCCCTCTGAGGTGCCACAGCCAGGGGCTGTGCTGGTATCTGACACCATTGACTGATTCCTTCCTGGCACTATGAGCTTTAACTTCCTGATATTCTGGCCTACCCTGCCTGCCCGGGGCTCCTCTGTGGCAGTCCTGTTCCTGGCGCTTTCAGGCACACCCGTGCTGACAGTCCTGTGGAAGTGTTGCTAAAGAATTTTCACTAAATAATCTGGAATTCACACAATCCTGTCAAAGTCCCAACAGAGTTTTAGATAGATTTATCATAAAATTTACATGAAAAGGCAAAGGACCTAGAATTGCTAAAAGTCACGTTTTAAAAGCACGGTCAAGTGGAAGAGCCACAGGTCTGCAGACCTGTTCTGCTGCTCCAGCAATGATGACCAGGTGCCCGGATGGGAGAGACAGTGTGGAGCCAAGTGGGGAGCCAGAGCAGTGCTGCACTGCCTGGCCAGTGGGTGTTGATGCAGGTGTGGAGTCGGCACTGTGGGGGCTTCTGGACAGTGCCCTGTGTGGGTCTGTTTCCCCAGGGCTTGGCCAAGCTTCACTGTGGCCCACTCCTAATGGACCTTGGGGAAGCTTGTTCCCTGTGCTTCTGCAGGGCAGGCTGGGGTGGTGGTGGAGCTCTTATAGACTCTAGTTATGTCCTTGAAGGAGCTGCACTTTGATCTCTGAAGGAGGATCTGGCTTCTCTGGATAGTTTGATGAAAGTGCCCTTCTGGTACCTCCTCATACTTACAAGATGAAATCTCCTGGGGCTCCTGCAAATGCTAATAACCACACTGTCAGTTTAATCTTCTGCAGTTTAAAATACATGTTTTTGTACACAGAGAAATACATACTTCTGTTTTTTTTTTTCATGGTGAGGAGCTCTGTGTGTGTGCTGTTCTGTGGCTTGCTGTTCAGTTTGCACTAGTTCACATCTCATACAGGTTCCTGCTCTGCTTGGTTCTTGCCCAGTGTCCGTTCACCTGACCCTTCTCTTGAAAGGCAGGTGGGTGCTGCCCACTTTTCACTTCTGTAGACAAGTGCTGATGTGTGTGGTTCTCTTGCCCTTAGTACATAACAAAGCAGGACCACCAGCCAGTGGAAGTCTGTGTGCACAGCAAGGTGGGAAGGTGCCTATCTCTACCACCCTCTTTAAGCTAAAAATGGCCCTCTTCCTTGCTGACTCAGTCACATGGTTCCTGATCAGCCCTGAGCTGAGGGAGTTTCACATACACGTTGGCTGCTCCTCCCTTCTCTTTGGAAAAGTGCCTGTTGAAAGCTTTTGCTCATTTCCTGATTGAGCTTCTCTTGTTGATCTTCTTGAGTGTGCATGTGTGTGCTCTGATCTCCAGTTTGGTGAGCTTGCCTCACAGATGACCCTTGCCCATGTTGTCCCTGCACTGTTGGCTCCACAACTGTTCCCTTGTCCTTGAATGCTGGCCCCAGGGCGGTGCCCAGAGAGGAAGCCACTACATCCCATGCTCAGGCACTTGTCACTTTGTGGAGTGGCAAAGAGTAAAGAAGTACAGCTCATATCTTGGGTGGGGCACTGCACCCTACCTACTCAGCATGGCATTGGAGCACAGGAGACCTGTGGCTATTTGGGGACAAGGGTGTCCAGGGTTGTTGAGGTAGGACTATGCTCTGGGCAGCAGGGAGTTTGGGAGAGGGGAAAGAGCCCAGTACTTTTCAAGCCTGATGGTCACACACACCCCTGCGTGTGTTGTCAGGGAGTCCTGTCCAGTGCACATTCTGCTCAGGTGTCTCCAGCCAACTCCTCAGTGCAGCTGGGAGGAGGGGTATGAGGCCTGGAGTGACAGGGCTGGGGTTGCCCTGAGGTCATGGTGAAGGGTCACAGGCAGGGGATGCAGAACTTGTCTGGCATGTTGGGCTCTGGATTGATTGAAGGGGGGGGGGGGCGCCTTGCTTATAGAATGGCCTTGCTTATAGAGTGGATGCAATATTAGGGGCACGGTGGGGTCTCAGATTTTAGTCAGAATAGCTGATGGGATGTAGTAGACATTTGGGGGAAATGTTTTCTATCTTGGATGTGTACATTTGGGGCAGTGTGGTGTAGATGGTCAGTGTACCATTCTGGAGTTTGGGGAGGGAGGGAGTCCCTGGGTCCAGGGTTGAGAGCTGCTGGGGAGCCATCAAGGGAGTCATAAGGGGCAGCCACATGTGGGAGGAACTAAGCCTTGTAGGGCTTCAAGGACACAGAGTCCGTAGTGATCCCTGTTAAGACCATGCTGCTGAAGTGGTGAGATGCCATGGGGACCTGTGGGTAGGCTTGAGGTCAGGCTTGGTGCACCATGGTGAGGGCCAAAGCCTAAGCAGGGTGTACTTGAGAGCATGGAGGCAGAGGGTTTGGTGAAAAACACTGCAGATGGGTCTCCAGGGGCTTACATGAGAGTGAGGGAACAGTTGGCAGAAATTGGAGGAGTGTGGGCTCAGGTGTTTTTTCTTTGTCACCCCCACCCCCCTCAGTACTTGATTGAACCAGGCTTTCTTTCTTTTTTGGCGTGCGGGGCGGGATGGGTACTGGGGATTGAACCCCAGAGGCACTTAACCAGTGAGCCATATCCCCAGCCCTTTTTTATATTTTATTTAGAGACAAGGGCTCTATGATTTGCTTAGAACCTTGCTAAGTTGCTGAGGCTGGCCTTGAACTTGAGATCCTGCCTCAGCCTCCCAGGCTGCTGGGATTACAGGTGTGCGCCGTCAACCAGATTTTCATGCATGCTGGGCTTTGCCACTGAGATCCATTCCCAGACCCCAACCTTTTTTTTTTTTTTTTTTAATATGTCCATTTCTGACCTGGGTCTGCTTGCTTCTCAGACAACCTGATGGTCCTCTGCTCCCATGAGGCACCATATTGGTGCTGAATTTACCTTGGATACCTGGTTAACACATTGTACTGCAGCCCAGAACTCCTGGGCTCAAGCAGTCCTGCCTCAGCCTCCTGAGTAGCTGGGACAAATGTGTACCACTGTGCCAGGCTCCACCCCTTTTAACAAAATCTTGAGATGGGATCTCATTAAGTTACCCAGGCTGGCTTCTAACTCTTGATTCTCCTATCTCAGCCTCTCAAGTAGCTGCGATTACAAGTTTAGGCCACCACACCCAGTTCAAGTGTACTTTTCTTTAGGAAGGGTTTGCTAACCTCTGAATGGTTGGGCTGGAAGAAATGGGCACTGTAAGAGTCAGAGAGTTGCTGGATTGGGACCTGGAATAGGGGAGGATTGAGCTGTGTGCAGCTCCTGAGGCACTGCAGGTTGGCAGACACCTGCATGTTCTCTTCTAGCTACTCTGCTCTCAGGGGAACATGGATGGTCCCAGGAGAGGAGAGGTGTGCCATAGCCATAGTGGGGCTCACAGTGGTCATGAGTTCCCAGGGAGTGTTCTGGGGAAGGGGAATGGGGTGAGGTGCTCGGTCAGACTGATAAGGTGCTAGGGGAGCCTGAGTACTGGAGAATGCCAGTGGTGCTGAACCTGTGAGCCAGGACGGGGACAGGGCAGTGGCGACTGCGTGTGGTGGAAATCAATGGAGAGGGACTGGGGCTAGATCTCCTTGTGCTTGGTGATGACAGGGCTCTTTCCTTTCTGTTTCAATACAGGTGGCTATTATCATGGAAAGCTAATTTTTCCCAGAGAATTTCCTTTTAAGCCTCCTAGTATTTACATGATAACTCCCAATGGAAGGTTTAAGTGCAACACGAGGTAAGCTTCCAGGGGGCAGTGCTYTGAGCCATGGCTGACAGGGAGTGCACTTCTGCTCATAGAGCACCTTTCTTGCAGGCTGTGTCTCTCTATCACGGATTTCCACCCAGACACGTGGAACCCAGCGTGGTCTGTCTCCACCATCCTGACCGGGCTCCTGAGCTTCATGGTGGAGAAGGGCCCCACCCTGGGCAGTATAGAGACCTCGGACTTCACGGTGAGGTGTAGCAGCGCCTCACTCCAGGCCTCTGGTGGCACCTTGGCCTTCCCTCTTGTCTATGGTTATTTGTGTTCCTCAGATGCACAGCCACTTTTTCGTCAGCAGGTGGAAGCTATGCGCGGTTCTGTGGTGTCCTCATTCCTGGCCACTTCGTGGAACTGCTCTGCTCTGTGCTTGCTGATGGAGTCTCTTGGCCTTAAGCAATTAAGCATCACTATGGCTCCAGCTCTTCTTAGAGGGTCTGGGGGACTCTGGACTGGGAGTACACTGTGTGTTCATTATTAGCTTGCATTTCCATTTTTAAAACGGGAGTCAAGTTTAATGTTATTAATTATAATGAGAAGACACACAAACCTTCGTAAGACCTTGACTCGGGGAGAGCAGACTCTTAGGCACTTTCTCCAGCAAGAAGAGCAGCCCTTGGGTAGAGTGCTTCCCTCGCATGCACACAGCCCTGGGTCCAATTCCTAGTACCACACACACACACACACACACACACACACACACATACACACATACAAAAAGGCAGCCCTTAACTCTAGAACGGTCTGTTTTTAGAATTTTGAAAGAATTAAAATTAGCTTTCTGAGTGACATTTTCCTTCTCTCTCTTCCTAGAAAAGACAACTGGCTGTACAGAGTCTAGTGTTTAATTTAAAAGATAAAGTCTTTTGTGAATTGTTCCCTGAAGTTGTGGAGGTAAGAAAGTGAAAGCTGAGCTCGGTTTTGTCTTTCCTTTTGTAAAAGCATTTTCAAATTCGAGTCTTCCAAAGAGAAGATATTTACAAGTCCCCATTGTGTTCCTGCAGATGTCACAGGTGTCACACAGGCTCAAAGGTCATCTGCTGGACATGCCTCCAGACACATACCCTGGGGACACAGGGCTAGGCCCCCTCCAGGATCCTCAAGGCAGGAGAGGCAGAAGAAGCCCAGAGAGGAATGGGTGGGGGTGGTGTTGGGTCTGGGCTTGCTAGTCAGAGTGGCCACCCCCAGGTGGGCCAGGAGTGGTGAGGAGGCTCATCTGTTGCTTATTGCTTTGAAGGCTGGGCCTCCTCTGCCATGTGGGGCTGGGTGCTCTCTGGTTTTGGCATCGCAGCAGAGAATGTGGCAGTAAACAGAGGTAGCTTGCTTCCTGGTGGTTGAGGCCTTGGTATCTCTAACCTGGCTGAGAGGCACAGGGTAGTGATTTTGGCAGCCTGCTTGGTCCCCTCACCTGTAAAATGGGACCAGGAGCCATACCCACCTCAGGGTGTCAGGATTTGGCCATAGAATGGAGTCCTTCATTCTCAGTGACGGCCCTGGGCTCCTTGGAATTGGAGAACTGGTTTGTTCAGACCAGCCATGGTTTCCTGTGTTTTTCTCTTAGGAAATTAAACAAAAACAGAAAGCACAAGATGAACTCAGTAGCAGGCCACAGACTCTGCCCTTGCCAGATGTGGTTCCTGATGGGGAGATGCACCATGGCCAGAATGGGGTCCAGCTTCTCAATGGGCATGCACCGGGGGCCGGGCCCCACCTTGCAGGGCTCCAGCAGGCCAACCGGCACCATGGACTCCTGGGCGGTGCCCTGGCGAACTTGTTTGTCATAGTGGGTTTTGCAGCCTTTGCCTACACGGTCAAGTACGTGCTGAGGAGCATCGCACAGGAATGAGAGGCACCAGAGCCAGGACCCTGTCGCTGCAGATGCAAGTGCCAGAGCTCGACACAGGCGGGCTGGACATGCTGCTGAGCCAGGGCGGGCCCGCCGGACTCCTGGGTTTCTCTTTTTAAAAACCTTAAAAGGAAAGCAAAAACCAAAATGTGTGATTTGGAGGAGACATGAGATCCTCAGCTCCCTCTGCTCACCTGGTGTGGTGTGTGTCGGGGCCAGTGTCTACGAGGGCCGCTCACGTTTGGTTTTATAGCTTATCTCCTGTATTGTCTTTTGGACCTGTTTAGTAAACCTGTTTTTCATTTAATTAGATTTGGTCACTTAAAAATATAAAACTCAATGCCTATCAAACACTCTGCGTGTGTTCTTGGCAGAGCTCTGGACTCTTCAGCAGGAAAGGGCTGGAGCTGGGGTAGGGCCTGCATTGTGGCACCATCCCAAGTGGTAGAGCCAGTCGGCGGGCCAGCGACAGCATGGACAGGGACCCAGGAGAGAGGAGATTTGACTCATCATAAAAACATATTTATGGTCAGTTGGAGTGAATCAAATTTCTTCTGGAAAGTGCTCCTTCATTTTTCTGTCCAGGTAGAAGAGTCTGCTTGCTCTGTGGCCACTAGGTGTCACCCTTTACTTGGAGCAGCCTCTGAGAATGGCAGGCAGCTAGCTTGTGGTCCGCCTAGTTGGACTACCAGCTTCTCTGGGTGCTGTGGGGCGGGAGGGTGGGTGCTGGGTGTCTGCAGAATCTTTTCTCTGAATTTCTCGTGTCCAGTTGGCAGAAACTTGTCTTACTGAGCCACTAGGTGGAGACCCTTGGTCCCAGGGTGGGTTCTGTGCACTGTTGGACCCTTCCACTTGGTACTTTCTTGCACCTTAGAGGTAGGCTGTACTGTCCTTACTAGTTGAGCACATCATTGGCTCTTCTGGGTCACATAAAGGAAGCTGCCCTTGGAGGACACGTGGATTCACTGTCAAAGCTGGCATGGTCTCCGTGTTGGGACCTGTGTCGCCTGAAGGGCCCATGTCTTCCCTTTTCAACATTTGTGTCTAATGACTGCAGCTGCACTGAGTGTTTTGAAGATGCATCACACTGGGAAAACTGACATCTGTGGGGCACTGACGGAGCCAGTGGTGCTGTTCAGTGGCAGATGTGGCCTCCCATCCATCAGTCACCACTGGGTCCCCACTGAGGCCCACAAACCAGACTCATCCCAGAGACAAGTGGCAGAGCTGAAGCACAGCCTGCATGCTCGACTCTGGCTTTGTTTGTGGTCGGTGGATTTAAAATTGCTCTGTATTACACCGCTTGAGTGTGTTTGGCCCACCTCTTTGGGGAAAAAAATCTTTCATTATGCTTCTGTTCCTGAATTTCATGCTGTCTTCATCTGTGTTGGTGGAGACTCCTGTCCTTGCTGAGTGGCTCAGGCCTACAGGTGGGGTCTTTGGGGTCACACCTGCCTGGCCTGGGGACAGTGAGTGTTGCCACCTGAGGGTGAGTCTTGGAGGCAATGTGGTGCTGCTGGGACCCTGGCCCACCTGGCCTGGACCCTGGCCAGGAGCTATCTGTGCATGGCCACAGTGGATGGAGCATACTCCCTCCTTTGCTGGGAGCCAGCCAACACTTGGTCCATGGCCTGCTTTAAGGGCACTTCTATAACCACTGGCGTCCATTCCAAATCCTTGATGTTTCCTGGGGCTGTTGGGAGGCTGAATGTAACCAGATTTAGAGTTTACCCAACACCTTATTTACTGTATGTGAAATCTCAACTTTTAACAGCCCTTAGTCAGTGGTGGAGGCAGACCCTGTGGTGCCCATGGCTTGTTGCCTGCATTGGCTTCAATAAAAGATGACCTTTGTCCTGTTGGACCAAGTGTGTCTCCCTTCTTTCGTGTTGCCCTTTCTGGAAGGAGTCTGTGGGTGCCCTTGACTATCCCCCACCGCTCTCAAGGAAGACCTTCCTTGTGCAGAAGGAAGAAGAGTCCCTCACAAAGCTTACTATCCATGGACACTGGAAGCAGCACTCCAGTGGCCTCCTACTGTTCCCCTGGGAAAATTCTCCAGCCTTTGGGGATTTCATCACAGAGCTCAGACTGTGAGAGGGAGCACCCTCCCTCTGCATCCAGCTGGTGGGCAGCCAGCAGGGAGCCCTGTGTTTCTCTAGGGCTTGGGTTTGAGGCTGAGCCCCTCTCCTAGGGCAGCCTGAAGTTGGAGCCCAGATCTGTGGCGCATGGAGTCCAGAACCAGTGCAGTGACAGCAGGGAGTGGGTTATAGTGCATGTGATCCCGTGAAGGAGGGAGGATCCTTTTGGTGTCTTGAGGTGATTTTGAAGGAGGGGATGCTGAAGCCAGAGAGCTGGTGACTTGTATAGGGCCTGTCCCTGAGTTCCGGGCTCCTGGGAGTGGAGTCTGCCCCAGTACCTCACTGCTACAGGCCTATATCTGGCCACCCACCCTTTCCCCTCTGCCATGGGGAACCTCTGTGAGACAGAGCTGGGGTTCACTGCCAGTGCACTCTGCTTTCACGCACAGAAAGGTGAGTCCCGTAGGAGGCAGGTGGCCCAGAAGAGCAGGGTCTGACCCGTGGAGAGGTCTGGCAGCCCTGGGTGGGGACTCCAGAATTGAGGATTTGCCAACTCCACACCTGGGTCCTGAGCACGCTGGGTGCAAAGCACATCTAGGGGTCATGTGCTGGGGTTCCAGGGTGGGGCTGTACTGAACCCACCCCCACCATCATGGCCACCATTCACCAGTGGACAGGAGGGCTGATGTTGCTTCCTGAAGGGTGGAGGCCTTAGCATTGTGCTTGGGAGATGCCAAATTGGCCTCTGCTGTCCCTGAAGGTCGCCCTTCTGTCACAGCAGGAGGGTGAGAGTGTGCACTTCCCTGACACCCTCCCTACCTAGCTCTGCAAGGGGTGGGGGCTGTGAGGCTGGGCCTCCTGTCTTGTCCACCTTCACCTTCTCTGGGTCAGTAAGTTAGGGAGGTTGGAGTGTCCTGTGCTAGGCAGGGACCAGGACCAGGACCTCTAGGGCCAGGGACGAGCCACTGTTCCTGGTGGACCAGCCTCAGAGGTCCCCCTCACTGACTGAACCCAAAGGGCCTGTGGGCGTGGTCTGGCCCCAGAGACCTGCTGCCTCAGCCTGGAGGTGGTCAGAAAGGACCCCTCTCCCACACAAGCCTGGTGGAAGGAAATCTTGCTGGCCAGAGGTCTTTGGAGGGAAGGACTCACCCTTGTGCTGAACTCTCTGCTCATGCTTTGCACCCAGTGGGCAAGCAGTAAGGGTCAGGCCTACATCCACAAAGGGTGTGGGGCTGAGCAACTGGGACCTCCAGCCTCTGTACTCCTGCCCTGAGGCCAGAAGGTCCCTCCCTGTGGGCCTATCCCCACTGGAGGAGGATCCCTATACTGGGAATGTCTGGGGGGAGGGAAAGTCCCACCAGCCAGTTATTCCCTTGGTTCCAGGGGCGGGGGTGTGGTGGGGTGGGGAGCTGTCTCTGGAGCTCCTCCAGGACCTGAGTAAGGGGCTGGGGTTCTGTACCCAAGGTCACTCTTGACCCTGGCCCTGAGGGGTGGGTATGAGAGATGCCAGAGGTTAGTGTGAACAACCTCCCCTCCTTACCTGGGATGGGGACCCTCCCGAGGAGGGATGAGGGGCAGGCTGGGGCTATTTCCAAAGGACTAGACAGCCTGAGAGGCAAGGCCCAAAGCCTCACTAGCCCCCAGTTCCTTAGGAGGGCAGGAGTCCACGGTCAGTTTGGGTCCCGCCCCCTGCACCGCCCCGCCCCGCCCCATCCCACCCCGCCGTCGCCTTAGGGGCGCCGGGGCAAACTGTTTCCACGTGAGCCCTCCCCTTGGAGCCCAGAGGCCCAGAGGCCCAGAGGCTGGGGGAGAGGAGCGCGTCTGGGAGGGCACTGCAGGACGCAAGGCGAGTTGGCGCCGGCCTCAAGGGGACACCACGCTGCTCTTGCGCCCCCACTCTTGCGCGCCCCGCAGACATGCACCGGCGGCGGCCGGGCGCGCCCCTGGGCCTCGCCCCCGCGCGGGGACTCTGAGTGCCGCCGCCCCCGTGAGAGCGCCTGGCCGCTGGGGTTCGCAGCACTGCTGCCGCCCACATCCAGCCATGCGGTGCTGGGCCTGGGCGGCAGTCCTGGCCCTCCTCTGGCCACAGCTCGCGTTGCTCTGGGGAGTCGGGGCATGGCGGGAGCCCAAGAGGCTGCGGCAGCCTGGCCAGCGCACAGAGGCCCCCAACGCCACAGCTTCCGACAGCGAAGGTCTGCCTGGCTCTCCCAAGGTAGGCACAGGCCGGGCACACGTGGGCCCCGGGCACAGGTGCACAGGGGCGGCTTTGGGACTGAGGTCATCGGATGCCCTCCCAGGCCCTGCCACAGAGGTCCCTTGGTGGGGTCTGCCGCAGCCCCGACTGGGGCCCCCTCAATCCCCACAGGCCTGGAGAGGGGTTGGGGAAGAGAGGCACTAACCAAGAGCCCAGGTGAGGGAGGACTGGGGGGAGATACAATTAACTCTTTGCAGCCACAGGCCCTGGACTTTGGGCAACCTGCTGCCATTAGTTGTAATTGCTAATTCAGGCAGGGGTGGGGGTAGAGAGCATGGCGCCCCACAGCCTCTAAGGTTGGAGACTCCAGATCCCTGTGCTTCCTGGGGATTCTGTATGGTCAGCATCCACCTGCAAAGTGCCCTGTCCTGGGATATCCCTGGAGAAGGAGACCCTGGCACTGGCAGAGGGTCTCAGTGCACAAACCTCAGGTGATGCTGCCATTAGTGGCAGTTATCTGCTTGCTCAGGGCTGTTCCTCTAGGGAAAGGGCAGGGGGCAGTCTGGGAACTGATCAGTAGGAAGGACCTCTGTGGGACAGCTACCCAAATGTCCTTACTCTTCCTGGTGGAGGTGGGCTTGTTCACTGCCTGCTCCCTACAGCCTCTGCCCTTGTGGCTCAGTGCTGAGGCCCCGGGACCACTGACCCATACAAGGCATTGAGGGGACAAGCAGATTCTGGATGTTTCAGGATTAGGGGTGCATTCTCTCCCTGGGTGGGTAATCTCATCCTGCCTGCTTCTCCAAGTCCCCCAGGATGGAGTCCTCTGATCTACTGGGAAGGGACACCAGTTAGCAGACAGGACCTGCTTTGGTTGGGTTGGGTCTAGGTCCACATCAGGACTGGATCCTGCCCTGGGTCAGGACCCCTTGGCCCACTCGCCTGGTTTGGTGGCAGCTCTCCTGGAGTGGCCAGGCCAATAGTGCCATGCTTCTGTCCATGTCATGTACTCTTGCCGGCCTCACCCATCATCCCCGAGACAGGACTCGTTCTCACTGGCCATCCTCTCTCTAGTCCACAGCCTTCTCTTTGACCCCCCCCCCCCACACACACACACATACCATATTCAGGACCAGGCTCACTGTCAGGGACACATTAGGCTGGTGAGAGGACCCCCAGCCCTGTGTGCACCCAGGTGTGCCCTTCCACATGGTAACAGGGCCAAAGGTGTCTGGGCCCTCCCATAAAGGCCAAGACTGGGCATCATGCCCTGGCTTCCATAGAGGACCTGTCCCTGTCCTGCCTGTTTCCCACCACCAGGACATCAGGTTCTAGTCCCTGGGATGACCCATCCTACTGGTTAAGGCAGTTTCCTATGTGCCTGAGTTCCCCCAGTGACCTGTGGTTCCCAGCTCTTTGTGGGGCGCAGTAGGACAGGCAGGAGCCACTGGGGTCTGGTGGTCATTTCCTAGCCTTGCCCCCCTGGCTCTTTAGTCGCTGGAGCCCTCAGGGCCTGAGTTCTCAGATGCTCACAAGACGTGGTTGAACTTTGTCCGACGGCCAGAAGATGGTTCCTCCAAGAAACGCTGTCGCTGTCAAGGCCAAGACAAGAAGTTGGTGAGCCCCTGGGCTGCCGCGGGGCCAGCCTTCCCAGGATCCTCCAGGGGGTTTAAACCCAGGGCAGGGGTGGCACTGGCTCCTACCGGGACCCTCACTTTCTCCTGCCTCCCCAGCGAGGCCCCTTGGGTCCCCCGGGGCCCCCTGGGCCTCCAGGACCCCCAGGGCCCCCCGGTGTGGAAGTCGCCCCAGCAGCCCTGCTTCAGGAGTTCAAGGACATGCTGAAGGGTGAGGCTAACCCTAACCCTCTCCAGGCCCAGGAAGCCCCCACACGGCCCTCAGGGGCCTCACCCAGGTTGCCTCCTCCCTGCAGAGGCCACAGAACGGCGGTTCTCAGCATGGCCAGACCCGCCACTGTCCCGTGGGGCTGGCCCATGGCTGATGGTTGAGGCCTTTCACTGCCGGCTGAAGGGCCCCGTGCTGGTAGACAAGAAGACACTGGTGGAGCTGCAGGGTTTCCAGGCTGTGAGTGGGGATGTGGGCCCAGGACAGGTCCTGACATCTCTGGGGCACCCACTGCAAGTTCTCATTCACTAAGGGGTCTATGGGGACAGGAAGCAGCGTGGGGCCCCTACAGGTGAGATGGGCCCACGGACATGACTGGGCAGTGTTTGAGCACAGGTACACATTGGCGATCTGGGGAGCCCATGCAGAGGGTGGGGGTGGCCTTGGTCAAGGTTAGGACCCCCAGTATGCCCAGACTATTCCTTATACCAGGACTCTGGCAGGGCCAGGGTAACCTGGGAGCAGGGAAGCCCTCTGTGTGGGGCTCTTGGGGAGGTAGACACAGGGGTCAGCCCTTTTCTTCTCCCATGAGAATGAGAACCGCTTGGTTCAGTGGCTGTCGCCAATAGCGTCTCCCCCTGGTGAGGTGTGCAGGGTGAGGGTCCAGGCCCTGCAGCCAGCCGCTCACTCACTGCCCCTTACAGCCCACTGCCCAGGGTGCTTTCCTGCGGGGGTCTGGCCTGAGCTTGGCCTCGGGCCGATTCACAGCCCCAGTCTCTGCCATCTTCCAGTTTTCCGCCAGCCTACACGTGGGTAAGCCAAGCTGGGCCGTGTGTTTGAGGGTAGGGATGGGTTAGGTCTCAGGGGTGGACACCTGACACTGTGGGGCCATCGGAGATGCTACTGCCCCATTTGGGGCCCTGTGTTCTGGGGCCACACATCCATCCTCCCCCAGCCCCTTGGGGTCTGCCCTTGGGCTGTGTGTCTTGAAGCCCCTCTCCTACCACTGTCTCCACAGACCATAGTGAGCTGCAGGGCAGGGCCCGGCTGCGGGCCCGGGACACTGTGCGTGTCCTCATCTGCATCGAGTCCCTGTGTCACCACCACACGTGAGTGTGCCAGTCCCTGGGTCCACCTTTGGGGCCGGGACCACAGGCAAGCATCATGAGTATATCTGAGCCTTCACTCTGGCCCTGCCCAGGTCCCTGGAGGCCATCTCAGGCCTGGAGAGCAACAGCAGGGTCTTCACGGCACAGTTACAGGGGCTGCTGCAGCTGCAGGTGAGGGTGGCATGCTGACTCAGGTCATAGCCACTTGGGGTCTGCCCTTGGGTTGTGTGTCTTGAAGCCCCTCCCCTACCACTGTCTGCACAGACCATAGGGAGACAGTGGCTGGGTTCAGGGCCAGGGGCTGACAGCCCAACGGGAGTCACTCAGGACCCTGGACCTAGCGCCTGGGAGGGCACTGCCTGGTGGGTCAGCTCTTAGGTGCATAGGTGGCCCTTCATCTGGGCTGGGCCTTGGCCCCAGGTGCTCTTCCTGTGTCGGGGAGGCTGTGGGACCAGGATACCCACAGGCAGTGATGCCCACCCTGGTGCCTGCAGGCTGGGCAGTATGCCTCCGTGTTTGTGGACAACGGCTCCGGGGTGGTCCTCACCATCCAGAGTGGCTCCAGCTTCTCTGGGCTGCTTCTGGGTACCTGAGGGTGCAGAGGGAGCACCCTGTCAGGACCTGTGATTGCCCCTCTGAGGAAGGAGGCGAGAAGACCCCCAGTGGATTCCTGTGGTCACAGCAATAAAAGCCCCAGTACTCTGTTGCCCCGGGGTACTGCCTGGTTATTTCATTGGTGGAGGTGGGCGGGTGGCTGTGGTCTGCCTGGTGGTGTGCGTGCAGCCCTGGAGGATACAGTGTAGACCTGGGGGCTAATGAGGTCCCTACCACATAGCCCCCAGGCTCTCCTGCCTCTGGGGGAGGTTGCAGCAGCAGCCAGGCCTCCTGGCAGTTTCCACACGTGCTAGGGGCTGTGTTTACCCTGAGGGACCAGGACAGACGTCCATGTGGGTCCCAGCCCATGGCCTGGAACCCCCTCTCCTAGGATCTGTGCCGCCTTAGAAGACAACCTGTTTGGCCTCAGGGCCCTGGAAGCCTCATGTTGGGGAGCAGGCCATGTGGAGCGACGGGCAGCTAGCTCTGGGGGCCGCCTCCTGTGGGGGAGAGAAGAGCATTCAGGCCTGTGCAGGCCATGGGTGGGACTGTTCACGTGTGTGCAGACCACACCACGAGCACCTGTGGGCCCACGTGTGCTTAGCCAAAGGTGTGGGCTGCGTCAGGCTGCCCAGCTGAGACAGGAGAGGGACAAGTGGCAGGCATCCACTTCTTGCCACCTTCCCCAGCGATGGCCTGCACATCCCAAAGGCCAGGGGCTGTGGAAGTAGGTAGGGTGGGCTTGGCAGAGCAGCCTTCCACCGCGGCCCTTGAGGCAGGAGCTGCTGGCCAAGGCCCTGACTCTCTGTTGTAGGTTTGGGTTTGAGGTCACCTGTGGCTACACCATTTTGGCTCTGGCAAACCCAGACCTCAGGATGCCTGGGCTGGAGTCAAACTACCCAGATATGCCTTCTGGTTGGCACCCAGGCCCTCAGCAGGTGGCAGTGGGCCCCTAGCCTCTGACTCCTCCCCCTGGAATCATCTCCCAGAGTCAGGGTGGGAGGTAGCCAGCAGGCAGAGGGATGTGTCTGCAGGCTCTGGGCAGAGTGTGGGGTGCAGCAGTAGGCAGGAAGAGGCTGTGCCCAAGGCTATTGCCCCTCCTCTGGGGACTTGACTCATCTGGGAGGACAGAGGAGGGCCCATCCCTGAAGCCTGATCTGCAGTGGGAAGGCTGATCCAGCCGGGCATTGAAGCAGTACCAAGCAGGCTTGTCCACTGACCCGTCCCCACCTCTCTCCCTGATCCCCCCAGAGTGGCGTCAGGGGCTGGGCCTGTTTGCAGGGGTCTCTGCTTCACTGCGGCTGTTGCTGCCAGGTTTGGCAGGATATCCCTTACAACCTGCAAGGGCCAGTGTGGAGCACCCCTGGGTCCCCCATCAAGGAGGCTGAGAAGGGAGGGCTACCTGGGGGGCCCAGGCTTCGGGCAGGTGACTATCCCTACCCCAAATTCCCAATTCCTGAGGTTCCGATGAGTCACAGGGGCCCAGGCTAGGTGAAGAAGTCCAGACTTGGGAGCCCCCTGCGATTCTGTCACGACCCTTGCTGGTGCAGCCCACCTCACAGGGCCAAGGTGGAGCTCTGGGGTTTCCCTGCAGCCCCAGTCCCACTGGCCAGAGAGAGAGAGGCCACATTGAAAGGACTATGAGCAGATGGGTGGAGGCACTGAGGACCCAAGTCCTGGCGGAGGCAGAGCAAGACTTGAGAGGACGGCCTGGGCATATGCGTGTCCTCATGTCATGTCTGCAGTGACATGAGACGCAGGAGCCCTGGGACACAGATGCCCCACTCACATCTGATTTCCAGGGGCTCCTGCCGGCCCAGCCCTGAATCGCTAGTCCACACCTCCCTTCTCTGCCCCGCTAGGAGCGGCAGCCCCACCCTGGGCAGAGTGAGCTAGGGCCAGAGGCAGCCTCCCAGGACAGTGGGCTTGCCTTGGCCTGGCGGCACCTGGTGGGGTCTCCCACCACCCTTCTCTGGGCTGTGGGTCCTCTTGACTGCAAGGATCGTGGTGTTCAAGACGGAGCCATAGAGACTCGGACCTGGGGTCCCGCAGAGAGAGGCAGACAGAGAGACCAGGAAATGAGAGATGAGACACCAAGAGCGAGGCCAGCGCTGCAGAGCCACACTCGGGCAGGTGGCCAGCTGAGGTGGGCCCCTCCCGGTGCCCGGCTCCACCTGCAGCCACCTCGGTGTGTCAGCCAGGGACCCCAGACCTGGACCAAGAACGGCCTGTGCCTCTCCAGTCAGTGTCCCGGGTGCTCGTGTTGATGGCATCAGGAACCTGAGGGTGTGTCCCAGCGTCCCCACACAGGTGCCCCTGAATGTCTGGAGTTTCTGTGGAGGGAGTGTGTGTGGGGTCTCTATGTTTCCAGGGGTCTCTGCTCTGAAGCTAGGGCTTGCTTCAGGGCCAGAATTACCAGGCCCCTGTGCTACAATCATGGGGCAGGTTTCAGATGAGTCACCGAGCTCAGAAGTGGTCCTTGGCACCCAGGAGCCCCAGTCTTACGGACTTAGGGACAGAGATGGCTGGTGGCCCCAGGTAGAGAGGTTGCTCTCTAGAGCCTCAATCTGGCTCACCGTCATGGCTGCCCAGGGCATTTGGTGCTCCCTGGCTGGGGAAGCTTGGTGAAAGGGTCACAGGCGAGGGGCTTCTTACCCCCAACAAGGGGCTCCTGGCGCCCTGTCTTGGGGAGAAGCCCCTTGGGTGGCAGCAGGAACCTCGGGTCATCCATGGACTCCATCCTGTTCGCTGACTGGGCTCCCAGTTTAGGCTGCTGCCGCAGGCAGGATTCCATCGCTGGGACTTCAGCCGCCTGAGGTCTTCTGCAGCCTGGCACTTGGGCTGGAGAGCATTGTTGGTGTGGGCCACATGCCCCTGGCCTGCCAGCACAGTGTCACTATGGGCATGCCTGCCTGCTGTGCGCCTGGTGGTGGTTTGGGTGGGCCTGGTGTGGAGTCTGGGGACAAAGGGTCTTTGTTTGGGAGGATTTAGGGCACTGCCCCTCCTGTGGGGCAGTGACTCACGGGTTCTTCCGGTGTGATAACATCAGTTTTGCAACAGCGGGCATGTCATACACATGGCCCGCCTGGCCCGGTGGAGCTCCTGCCTTCACCTGTACCCACAGCCCTGAGGCTGCCCTGCTGGGACATGGGTGTGCAAGGTGGCAGCCAGGGCAGAGCAAAGGAGAAGTCAGGGGTTGGAGGCCCAGCAACTCCTTTCCACAGTGAAGCGTCACCATGAGCTCCACTCAGTCCCCTAAGCCTGTGTCCACCTCTAGCCCCAACCCTTCCCTGAAGGCCCCCAGGCCTGCAGACCCACATCAACCCCAAGGGCTCCCTCAGCGGCAGGATGTACTGAGGCCTGACTCTTGGAAATACTTCCAGATGGCTGTGTGTGGATCTTTCTCTGGGGCTGGGAAGCCTGACTGGGACATGGTTGGAGGGTGAGTCGTTGACCCTCTGTCACCGCCCACAGGGACTTGAGCTGGCGTGGCCATCCATCATGTCACTTCCTCTGGGGATCAGAGGTGGGTGGCTGGGAGTGTGGGGCCCCTCGGGGGAGGCTGGGCCAGCTGAGACCTTCAGACGCCACTGTAGGGAGGGCTAGGGCTTGGGTCACCTCCCTCTCTGGTCATGGGCTGGGTCAGGCTCCAGATTAGTGGGAGGTGGAGCTGGACATGGGCTCTGCTTGGGCTCCTGCCCCACCAGACCTTGACTCAGAGGGTGGGCTCTGCTTGAAGTGTTCACTCTGGAGAATGGAGATGACCACTGTCCAGGCTCCTACAGGCACACTCCACAGCTCCTGGCTGTTCCCCAGCTTCATGCTGCACTCAGCTCCAGGGGCAGCTAAGATGGGACAGGGCTCCCAGTGCTGCTGGTGAACTCTGGCTGTGGACCTCCTTTGTGGCCCCACTGGAGCCAGGTGCCGGCCTCAGCCCATGGAGATGCTGCTGGCCAGGCCAGCGTCGAGGCCTGAGTCTGGCAGGAAGCAGGACCGGAGAGTTCAGGGAACCCGGCCTTCTGGATTCTTCTGCACCTGCCTTCCCTGACTTCTCCCCATAGTGTCCTGGGCCTCAGCCACCCTCCTTGTAAGCCCACCCCCTGAGGGGATTCCCAGGGAGGAAGGGATGAGGGGGTCCAGAGAGTCGTGCCATACTGAAGGAATTCCAGGCATGTGGGGTAAGGCACAGGCCCCAGGAAGCAGTGGGACGTCCTGGGATGGTTTCAGCGTTGGGTGGTGTGATTGGTGTGGGGAGCCGAGAGAGGAGGACACACTTGTGGAAACAGAGCTGAGGGGGGCTGGCAGTTCCAAAGGAGAGGGAACAGTGCCCACAGAGGCCAGCTGATGGTCAGGGGGAGGGGAGCAGGGCTGCTGGGGCTTCAGGGTCCCAGGAACAGAGATCCCTGGGAGGCTGGGCTGTGGTCCCTCCAAAGCACTTTGCTTGAGGATGCTAGAATTTTTTTTTTTTTTCCCTCACAATTCTGCCTCATTTGGGCTATTCTGAAAAGGTCTGGGTGGATGGGTGCCTTGGGAGGACCCACTCTGCAGGCAGGTGCCTCCATGCCAACATGGGGGGCAGAAAAGGAGTGCTGTCCTCTGAGCCCCCAGGTGTCCCAGTGCCCTCTGCTCAACTGCACACCCTGCCTTGCAAGCCTAAGTATCTCAAGCCCCTTGCCTCCTAAGGCCCTGACGCTATGTCCCCATCTCCAGGACCAGGACAGCAGGTGGCTATGGCCACTCCATCTGTGCCAGGCTTCAGTCTTAGGTCCCAAGTCCTGATACTGCACTGATACAATGTGAATGTGGGGCATCAACCAAAGTAGGCTTTGTTCTGCTTTGACAAACTTGGTGTTCCAAGTTGGATTCAAGACTCACCCTTGCAGGTCAAAACCAGCTGCACACTGGCAACTCCATGTGGTTAGTCTGAATCCTAAAACTCACAGCCCTGCCCACAGGAATGCACAGGCCCAGGGCCTGGCCTCAGGAATCTTCCCTAAAT